GTATATAAAACAGAATCAGTTCATTTTGTTACGTATGACGTAATCTGTCCCAAGACAGTCAATCCGATGTTCTAAAGAAACAGTTGTGCATAGGCTGAGGACAAACTAATTGCAATCTATTACTGTATTCAGATACAAGTCAGGGTCTATCTAAAGACAAACAAACCTGTCGACAAAGAGAGGCAGAGAGGCCGCTGTAAAGAGCCAGCACTCCGTCATTCTTCACCACGTGAACAGCCATCCCAACCATCCTCTTCTTCACCTCCTGCTGAGTCTGCAGGTGGACCTGCAAACGCCATTATGACAGATTAATTCATAAAACCACACATTTTATTGTAGTGGAATGAGAGAGAAAACACAAACTACACAAAGTAGTGCCAATCTTGAATATACTTGCTTTTATGAGTGAACATGTCAAATGTTTATAAAATGCTAAGAACATTGTTTTTTTGTGATATAACCAAAAAGAAGGCTTTCCAGTGATTATTCTTATCAGGCTGTGACAAACAAAATTAGCAGGGCAAAGAGAAATGTGTATCTATGTTGTAATAATACCACATTACAGGGCCTCAAAATGTCGCAACAAAGGACGTGTTTGTGTGTGTGTTTTTAGACTGATCGGGTCCTCATTGTGACCTTCGTCCTTTGCTCTAATAAACAATATACTGTAAATAAAATGCATYAATAATAAATTTAATAAAACAATCTTTTCTTTTGTTCCACATTATCTTGATGAACAGTTTGTGTGATTCTACTGAAGCATTTATTGCTGTTTAATCATTACAAAAATCTGCTCAAAGTTCAAAGCATCAGACATTAACTGTTATCTTCAGCACATTTACTACATCATAGGTAAAATAACTTAGATTTGTGTTTCTAAGTACATTTGGTTTATGGTTTATGGTTAGCAGGGACGGATAAAGAATCCATGTGAGCGGGGGTGGGCCCATTGCTCTCCCCAAAAAGACACTGAGCTTCAGTTAAATCCTTGTGTTCCTCAAATGAAAGACACAAAGTTAGAAATATTCAGTTTTCTGAGCTTCTCTGGATCCATAGAAGATTCTCCAAGCGTTCTTTTCCTTTGACTGCTCAGAGTCAGGCAGTGGCCTAAGTAGCACAAAAGGGTCTCTAATGCACAGAGCGTTGTCATGGAGTCCCATCATCACATTGTGGCGGTTGAGCAGATTGTGCCCAGTTAGGACTCCAATCAGTTTACCTTAAATTTTCATTGTCAGGGAAATGAGAGCTTTCCCAAGATTTGGGCCATTTATCAGTTCCCTTGCCAGTCTACAGTCCTTCAGCTCCCTCCAGCGGATTGAGTGTTCACTAATCCAGGCCTGTCCAACACTGTTTTCTCTCCCCAGTTGGTTGACCGCTAAAGTGTGGTCCTTGAAGAGCTTTAATAGCAGCTTGGCTATCTGTTAGGAGGAATATTTCCTTCTGTGTACTTTGAAAGATGCCACACACTGATAGACTGCATGTATCTCAGCTTGAGATACAAAACTACCTAGTGCAGAGATTCTTAACCGATGGGCCGCAGCCCAATTGTGGGCCACGAGCGCCACCTTGAGGGCCTCAAAAG